GAATGACCAACAAATGTCCGCTAACAAAGCATATATGAAAATAGACTCCCGAGTACGATATATGGCACGCAACAAAAATGTAACAACAAGCAGTTACCCATTTTAACTATTATTTAATTAGTTTTACATTGTCTAATTTACTTAGGTTAAAGATTAAGTTAAGCAGTTCATAAAGCAGGCTTACAATCCTTCATGCCGTGTAAGTGTTCGTCGTCTTGATCAACTTCCAATTCCAACATCCGCCGACTGAAGACCACAGCGCTTGGCTTTCTTGATTTATCGCATTCTTTCCTTGTACACAAACTCTTCCGGAGGACTCCATAGTAAACTCTGTATTCTCTATCTTCTTCCTCTCTCGACTATCGTCTTTTTCATCTCTTTCTTCTCTCCGGATATCGCAAGGTCAAAAGGTCATAGCCTCGTCATATCATAGCTTCCAAAAGTTCAGTCAGCAAGCCACGAGGGTAAGCCCTCGGGCAAATCTCTTTTGTACTTCTCACAAGCCAGCTTTTATACATTTACTTTAGTTATCTAGAATGTTCTATTACTATTTATAGCGTATTACAAGTTGTACTATTTTTGGAAACTGCTGAGTCACATGAAAGAAGTTTCTGGAATATTACAGATTATAGATAATTCTAGAAAAGTCTGGGATTACGTGACAGATTCAGTAAAAATAATTCGATCCTCATAACAAGTGACATATCAATGCTTGCAACCATTATGTTTTATGCGAACCTAGCAAACTTTTAAACATGTTCTCTTGTGATACCTGCGAAAGTATTCAGTATAATTACTGGTAAGATTTTCGTGGACAATCTGATCGATTTCTCTTACATTGTGTGCTGAGACTGAAACTTTTCACCACGGGCAAAGCTTCTTCGCACGGCTCAAACAAACAGCGAGCAACAGAGCTTCTTGTATATGTCCGTATTAAAACACGTGAAAGGAATCCAAAGCACACTTCACTCTGATTGGGCAGGAAAAAAAAACAAAGATTTTCTTGGACAATCTGATCGATTTCTCTTACATTGTGTGCTGAGACTGAAACTTTTCACCACGGGCAAAGCTTCTTCACACGGCTCAAACAAACAGCGAGCAACAGAGCTTCTTGTATATGTCCGTATTAAAACACACGAAAGGAATCCAAAGCACACTTCACTCTGATTGGGCAGGAAAAAAAAACAAAGATTTTCTAGCACCAATCAGATGCCAGAACGACTGTGACTGTTTAGAACTAGTCTTGTAAGACAATGTCCCCAGGGGCTCTTCTGCCCTTAACTTGAAATCGACTCACAGCCCCTGGGTCTCCAAGGATGCTACCTGTTATAAATGATATAACATTTTGTGAAGGAATATTAAAATTAGGCATTTTAAGACTTCTTGTGGCTACTAATAGAGCACAATTTTTATAGCATTGGAAAGAGCTGGAGGTTGTATAATAATGCTTGAAGGTAGTGTTGCAGATAATTTGTCTCACATGCAAAACAGAAAACCTGCTGCATCCCACTTATTTATGATTACCCTGTTCCACAAGGGAACGATAAATTATTCAAGAATGTAGTGACTCACTAACATTGAACTAATTATTAAATGGCAACAAAGAATCATAAAAGAACAGTGATAATTTATAGGGGCTGGCTCAAGAACCCCAATGTTTCTCTATACTCTAGGCTCTAATAATGATTAAACTATGCATCTTTTAAGTTTGGCTTCTATTTCTTTTTTCATTGAAATTCCATTTCATTGAGTTTTGTTTCAAACAACATGGCATTATGCATTCTAGGGTATTCTGCCATTCCAAGAAGCTGAAAAAATGACATCTGATAGTTTTTTTTTTAAGCAAAAAATCATTTGTTTCAAAGGCATTTGTCTTTCTTTAGTGTGTAATATTCCACCCATTAATCTACAGTGGGAATGTCAATCTATGAAGATATTCTGAAATAAACAATAGGTGACTTCAGGTCAAAACTGGGTAAAGTTTGGCATTCTATCCCTACTCATCATCACTTACTCACTCATTTTGATAACATGTGGCTTTGCTTCTTACGGGAGGCAGTAGTCACAAAATTGAATCCTGAGTTGTTATTTCTGTCATGCAACAGGTTGGACGTGTTCCTAGAGATGCTCCTAAAGTAACTGGACATTTACGACCTGTTCTTGATATTCAATGGAACCCTTTTAATGACCAACAAATAGCTTCCAGTGCAGAGGATGGTTCAATCAAAATATGGCATATTCCTGAAGATGGCCTATCAGTGGACCTTGATGACCATTTAGTTGATCTAAGAGGGCACTCACGTAAGGTCAATATTATTCGATGGCATCCTTGCGCTGAAGGGGTGATTGCTAGTGCTGGCTATGACAATGAAGTTAGAATTTGGGATATTGTGGATGACAGAGAAGCAGCAACAATACTCAAGGGACATCCTGATACAATTTTTTCACTCTCTTTCAATTACAATGGTAGTTTACTGGCTTCCACTTGTAAAGACAAGAAGGTACGAGTAATAGATCCCAGAGCTGGAAGACTTGCAGCGGTAGGTACTAAATAAATGTAATTCTGTATTACAAATTTATCAGAGATATTAGATTCTGATTATGTTAGTTATTTCAGATGGATCAATAAATCAAGCCAAAACTGGTCTAAAGTAGTGATATACTATCATGTTGTCCTACCCAGAAGAGAGTTCTGATTGCTTTGTATATTTTGTAAATATGTATATTTTAAGCGGAGGTATAGCAGACGACATCATTTGTTTGGAACATCTTATTGCATCTACATTGTAGCTGTATACCAAGGATCTGTTGGTATTGTGAAACCATTACAAACTGTTTAAACTAATGTGTGACCTTTTTACAGAAACAATTAATTAGTTCTGTATATATACCTGGAAGGAGGAAATTATGCATTCTGAAAGCATTTATTCATCCTTCTTGAATATAACCTTCATGTCTCTATTAACAACAAGTTTTTTTTCTTCAAAATGCATCCATTGCAGAGATACAATACTTGTGGCATATCTGTGCTACAGGTATGACCATGGAACATAATATGGTCTTAACTTCCTTGTAATCCTTCAAACTGCTGGAAAGTATACTTGTAATTTCAAAATTGTTTGGGACAAAGATTATCCTTAAAATATATGACTTTCTTGTTTAACTTAACTCTAGAATTTGTTTGTTTTTTGTTTCGTTTTTTTTTCAGCATGGATTGGGACACCCTGGCAATAAGAGTTCTCATGTGGTTTTTCTTGGAGATATGAACATGCTATTTACAACAGGATTCTCAAGAATGAATGAGAGACAAGTAGCCCTCTGGGATGTGGTAAGGAATTTCAAATGCTAAATTTTAAACAAAGAACAATGGTATTCCTCTTTGTCACAAAAGTGGGGCATAGAAAAAATCTTAGATAGAATTGTATTGTGGGCAAGGCTCAAATGACCATGGGCTGTTTAGCATAGAATCACATAATTGAATAAATCTTACATTCTGATTGGTTGACAAAGAGAGGTAGTTAGTATGGAATTGCGAGTTGAAAACAAGGCTAAGTGATAATGTTTTGGATCCCTTGTTTGGACTCAGGATAAAAACAAACAGTATTGTTGTTGTTTTCTCTTTTATTCAATCATGTGATTCAAGGAAAATCCGTTACCTGACTCATGAATTCTGCATTGAATTGCACCTGAAAACTGATATTGCACTCATTGCTTTGCCCTTTGTGTAATATAGGTTTTCACATGCAATTTGATGCAGAATTTTCTAGTATGGTAATTAATTTTCCCATAGAATTCTCTACACTTGTCCAGGCCTTCATGTACATATAGTTCAACATGGGGTTTTCTGTGGCTCAGTGGTAGAGGGTTAGAGCACAGAATTGTAGCATGTATGATTCACTTTCTCATGGGAAATTAGATTTAACTCAAGTTAATAGCTAAAACATTTTACCATCTTTCCTATTCTTTTCAGCTTTTAAGTAGTTCTGTAAGTGTGATAAATGGGTCCTGTCACTTCAAAAATTACAAATATATGAATTTATTAAATATATTTTGTAATTTTTTATAACAGAGAAATTTGAAAAAAGATATCAAAATGGAGAGTGTGGATTCTTCATCTGGAGTTCTGCTACCCTATTATGACCATGACACAAGGATTGTTTTTCTCGCTGGAAAGGTAGTTGTCAAAGTTATTTTCATGTGCATCTGAGCAAAAAATAGCTCAAGCTACTCAGTCCATTAACCTTAAGTTTACACCCTAACATCAGTGTGCATATTCTCCATACTGTTCTCTATAAATTTCCCAGGGTTTTGACAAGGAGAATTAGAGTAAAAACCCGCCTACAAGAACACCCATTTTCGGGGTTCAGGCTGATTGGGTTCTTACATATCGGGTATTTTAGTTGAAATCAGCCTGAAAGTGTTCTCAAGTGTTCTTAATTTTTTACTTCTAAAAAAATGTAAGGGATTTACTAACTGTGATGAGATACATAATTTATAATTGTAATTATAAGACTTAATTCCAAATACAGTTGTTGTACATTTGCTATACACAGCAAGTGAAATTATACTAGCTTTTATACAGAGATCTTAGTGCAATACCACAATAAAGCTACAGACACTGTGTGTTCTATTAAACTGCAAAGGGAAGAGTTTTTATAGATAAGAACAATTTTCAATTTTCAGGCTGAATGTGTTCTTATATATATATATTTATATATGCTCCTTTTTGACCAAATTTCAGCCTGGGTGTTCTTAATCCACATGTTCTTGTATGTGGGTTTTTACTGTAGTTTAGAAATCAAGAACTTCTTTAGTTGGTGATCATTTTCTCTATTCTTATGACCCTTGATGATTGTTTCAGTACTGATACTGTAAGGAAAAACTAGATGCTTGGTACTCGAGTTAAAAGGTTAAAATTGAGGTGAAGAATTCTGCATCCTAGCCAGAGATGTCGCTTATTACATATCAGTTATTAACTGAGTGTGAGGTCAAGATGGCTGGTTAATAAAGGATTTATAACATTGCAAAAAGATTTTGCTTTTTTAAGAATTAGGAAGGACTTGTTTACTTCAAGAGTCGGAAAAGAAAGCCAACTGTGCTTGTAGTACAACAAGTTTACGAGAGTTGTTTCTGTGTTTTTTTTTTGTTGTTGTTTTGACTATCTTCTGCCGCTTTTTGCGTTTTCATCGCCAACATTGTACAAGAATTACAAAGAAAGTTCTAACTTAATTTTTTTCATGCGCTGGATTGATGCAGGCAATCCAGAGCAAGCAAGATGGGCCCTTGTTGCCTGCTCAGGTAGCCAATCAGAACACAGGATTCACTTCATCTTGCCCACGGGTGCTGTGAGCGATGTAATTATGATACTTAGTGAACACCATGGCTTAGCAGATCTCATTTGAACTTTGCAGTGTTAGCCATGGCACAAATGCTTGTTTAATATCTCATAGAGATATTGACCAGATCTGAGTCATTATAATGGGGGTAAGTTTCAAAAGAAACAGTGGTGCTGCGTCAGTGGGGGCAACAAGGTAATTTGTTTTATTAACTAAGTTAAAATTGTAAATTGGCCACCGTAAAGAGTAAAACAACTAATGTTTCCAGTGTTAGCCCTTCATCAGAGTGAAAGACAAAGGACTAATGCTTGAAATGTCAGCTTTTGAACTCTTTATGGTGGCCAATTTACAATTTCAACTCATTTGATAAAACCAAATTACTGAGTCATTATAACAGAGATCTTGATGAGTCATTATAACAGAGATCTTGAGGTTTGCTTAAAATGAAATATTTCTTACCCTTCAAAACCTACAAGTGACCAGCATCAAATCTCTCCTCACAGTAATACTGCTAAATCATTCATTAAGATCAGGAGAATATAGGAAATGATCACCAACCTTTGAAGCTTTGAATTTTAAACTAATTCTCCTCATCAACTCCAAAGGAAAATGTAGAGAGAAGAGTATAGAGAATATCAACTACACTTTGTAGAGTACAAAATTAATAACCCCATAGACGAGTGCAAATATCACGCGGTATTTGTACTCTAGAGTATCGGTTTAGCAGGTTTTCTCGCATCGCGCAGGCGAAGAATTGGATTGTAGTTACGAAAAAAAATGGCGGAAAATTTGAACCATATTTCCGACGACGAAAAGTCAGAATGACTGGCAAACATAGATCCAAGTTTATTGGATGAATCGAACGAAGAAAGACAGCTAGACGACCAGGAAATTTCTTCATTTATTGAAGAAAATAGAAACAGCAACACGACAACTCGCCAATTCCTTTTCGCTGGTCAAAATACGGCACAACTCGTAAAAATACTCAGCGATACTACACAACAAAACATCTACTAAGATATATTGATGTTAGGGTGAAAAGGATTAACAAAATGCAGCACGTACATTACCATAGTTTCTCGGTTATGAGGTGCACTCGGTTATAAGATGCACCCCAAACTTAGCAACTTTGTCAAGCCAAGTTCCCAAACTGAAAATGGCGTGAAAATACTTGGTTATAAGCCACACCAAAAGGTTGAGGGTTAAACAAAGGTGTGATGGATCTGAGAAAGTTTCATCGGGCTGCTCTGGCGGTGAAGGCAATAACAAAAATCTCCCACCAAAAGTCATAATCAAAGGTGTTCGAGTGTTCTAAAAGCAGTATTCCTTTTTAATCCAGAATAATAAAAGATTGGATTCCACGCAATCTTCGCTACACCTCGAACAAAAAGCTCTGCTCGTGTGGGATTCGTTTTGACGACAGCCATTTAAGAAACAGTCCTTTCAGAACCACCACAATGGCTCTTTTCAGAGCCACCCCGGTTCTTTTCAGAAACACCAGATCTAAAAAAAGTCAATGATCAATAATTAGTGTCCTTTTCTTTTCTTTTTAACTGTAAGTTCTGCTAAAATTGTGATCTTGATATTTAGTTGCCCAAAAATACTTGGGTTTAAGATGCACCCCAATTTCAGCACCAACTTTCCACCTGAAGACAGAATTTTCTTGAAAAAAACGGTGCGTCTCATAACCAAGAAACTACAGTAACCTTGTTTTTTGTAACTCATTTGACCTAAAAGGCATTCGTTTAAAATGCTAAAAGAATGAATACACTGAATCCCTTTTCTCCCATGATACATTGTCTAGTTTGAAACATATGACAAAGGAGCAATTGTGATCCGTAACTGAGTGATGTAGAATAAATGTACTTTTAATTTCTTATGCACATTACTGTTTGCTCTCCAGGGTGATGGTAATATCAGGTACTATGAAGTATCAGATTCTGAGCCATACATCACCTTCCTAAATGAGTACCGCAGTTCAGCGCCGCAACGTGGCTTTGGTGTCATGCCAAAGAGAGGTATTGATGTCACTGCTTGTGAGATTTATAGGTTTTATAAGCTGCACAACAACAACTTTGTGGAACCAATCGCCATGACTGTTCCAAGAAGGGTAAGAACTCTTATTTCATAAAGGGTTTTTCGCAGAGTCAGTTGACTTTTGTAGGAATTTAGGCAGCCAAGTTGTTTTGCTCTAGACACAAGGAGATTTATTCATTATTTAATCACATATTGTTTCTTTGACCAAGCCTTTTTTGTGTTATTGTGGTAGCTTAAGATAGAACGAAGAATACTTGGAATTGAAATTTTTAAGACACTTGTCATATAACACAAATAAACATATGTAGTCATTACTGCAATGTTTTTCTTGAGATAAGACTTTTGTGGAGAAGATATCATGAGATAGTTAAGTTGATACAAAGCTTATTTTGTATTTTCTTTTTGCAGCAATCCAACGTACTTCAGCGAGATTTATATCCACTGACTGCATCAGATAAACCTTCCATGGGGGCTCGGGAATGGATTGACCAGGGTCTAAATAGAAATCCAAACCTTATGGACCTCCTTAAAGACTTTCCTCTTATGGATGGAGAGGTAGAGACTCGCGATATGAGAACAAGAGAACAGCGAGAGCGAGAAGATAGGCGAGCATCAACTGGAAGAACAGAATACCAGGTCACCAGGTACACTGTTCTTCATTTTTCCTCCATGCACAAGAGTATGTTGTAATAGAAGGTGGGAGAGAATATAAATGAAGTTTTAGCAAACCAGAGTGGAACCTGGTTTCAATTTCTCATGACCAGCAGCTACTAGTCTCATCACAAATCACATTCTGTAAAGAAAAGTTCAAGTCGCAGTACTACAAATGAGTCAACATGACCACGATTGTCACCATATCGTTATCGTTATAAAATTTATTGTGAGAACAATTGACAGTGCTCAGCTTATGTCCTTCCCGAAAGGAAGGACTTTTAACGCTTAGAAATTTTTTCTCATGCATAGTGCCCTATATGTTTGTGTTCAAATCTGATAATTTTTTTTCTTTAGAAGTCCAACTTCTGAATCACCACCAAAGTCGCCACCAAAGTCCCCAGTAAGAGTTAGCAGCAGAAATGAAGAACAACGTTATCCAACTTCACCTGAAACCAACCACGTTCCTACAAGAGGACAAAATGGTGAGAGTGAAGTTCAGTATGTTCGAGCTACTGAAGTGTCTAGTAAGCCAGAAACCAAACAGAGAGACCCAATCCAGGTAATTTGTCATTTTATATATTTAACACATAGATTCCATGTTGATGTGGGTCTGTACAGTAATACATGAAGATCAAAGATGACATCAAAATGCGGTAAGAACAAAAAAGTAGCACACAAGATTTAGCTGAGTGTGTCATTAATGATCCTGCCGCAATTTGACATCATCTGTGGTCTGTTACCATATACACCCACGGCAACATGGAATTTATTTGTTTTATATGATAGTTACAAGTGTTGTGTACCCTTTACTGTTTGCTATACAACTTTTATGATGTCAGTTCGGAGAATTTGGTATTGGATCAACCAATAATCCCCTCATTAATATTTTTCTTTATTCTCATCACTTGTCTGCTTGATATT